GAATTATTGGATACATTTTGAACAATATGTTTTGTAAATATATAAAAGGTATTTCATGAATGGTATTAAAAATTAGCAACTGCAATTGATGGTGGCTGTATCCTCAAAGGTTCAAGTATCGTATATTATTATCCTCGTTTTAGAGTAAATTTACACTTATCAGATTATTTATCAGAGCATTTGTGTTATTTCAAATTATGGCTAACTTGTCCTGCACTCGCCAGCGGCTTAAGGGATGGTGTAAATCCAACCTAGATGCATGCAGGTAGCATAGGCACTGTAAGTCCCCATGGTCCCTAGTATGGTGAGCAGGATCCGGCGGTCAAGGGACACGCAGGAAGAGTGTTGAATGAAGGACTACATGTGTCAAAAGATGCATAGAAATATCCTGAGACGGATGATAACATGAATGAGGAAACAGAAGAAGTAAAACTGATGGGAGAGGTTGGGACTTGTTCGGAACAAGAAGAAATAGAAATGTAAATTTGTTGCTCTTCACATGGCATTTTTGTGAACAGTTCTGTCATGAAACATTGATTACACAACAGTCTTGTTCCCGGTTGACTGGGTTCCGTCCTGTTGCGCAACTTAGTACAATAACCAGTCCATAATTTTGAGACCAACTCATTCAACTGGACATATAAATGTTAATCAGTATTAGTTGATACATCTAATCACTTGTATATTGCAGCACTATGCTCCTTCTAATCCCTGCAAACACGTCTGCTCTCTGTTCTCACAAACGGAAATCTGGAAATCGTGGAATTCTCAAAACGAGGCTCGGCCGCTAGAAAGGTTTGGCGGTCTTGTATGGCCTTGATATTATATCCATCACATTGTACGTTACAAAAATACACTTAATAAGTGCAAAGAACACACAACAGGTGTAACCAGTGCGCAAGATGAATTATAAATCATTTTTACGACCTAATCAAACAGGGGCAGTCTGTAAAGTCTTAGTTAACGTCATGCTGCATAAACCTCGCCATAAAATATAGAAATACGATTTTTTTTAAAGTATAAAATTAAAATTCATTTGTAAATACCGTTTTCTTATGGAACAAGGAATTGGAATTTCGTGTAACCATAGTTGTTTGTACTGTCTCTTTTCACTTTCACACGAGAAAATCCGGATCCTCTGAAAAGTAAGTCAATATCTGAATTGATTCACGAGTGAGTGAGTCAATTTTCAACATTCTGTGCGCCTTTAAGAACCTATTGCACAACACATGATATTACATGATTACTGCTCACACTGACAGAATGACATTAGGTATTCTACCTTGTTAAATGTGTTCAAACCATTACTACATATTAACATTCTCGACAAAATGGCGAGAACTGTACAATATAGACCAAAAAGACCAAACAAATTCTTGTCCACTTCTCATATCCACCGTAACAAATATATTTCCATTAATCGAGGATATAGTCCTCCGAAAATCATGAAGTATTATATTGCATATACCTAGTGAGCTGTAAATGTCTGATTAACAAATAGAGACAATTCCGGAATTCTTGTATAAGTTTTATTTATATGTACACATCTGAGAACTGAACCAGGCAGAATTTGTCATCTCAGTGAAACTAGTAATAGAGAACTGTACACAACATCCTGAGTTTAACTAAAGGGCATGTGGTATGTGTTCGAAGATGGCGATATATGTTGTGTGTGACAGGCATGTCTCCACATTCCTACATTGTGTTGACAAAAGGTTCTCAGGGTTTGAATGAAGTTTCTATTGGTTGTTTATCTATATAGTCACGTTCACGCATCTGGCTTCCGTCAGTCTGTAATACAAACGACAACCCATTGAGCACTTAACATCACAGAATGAATGAATGAAAATAAATGAATGAATGAATTAATTAATTTATTAATTAATTAATTAATGTGTCTATCTCAGCAGCCGCGCACACTGGACACAAACTTCGAGACTTAAGATGCATTTCAGGGGAACGCCTTGAATGGTTTCATTATCATTGAAGGCATATCTAGTTGACTGACAGACTTTCACAGAGGTACCAAAATGGCATATAATAACGCGCGAACAATACAGGTTTTAAAGCAGCATTTGTTCTTTACTTTAGTATTCGCCAATAGTAACATGAAGCAACTCTTCATTCTAACCTCTGTCAGTCTTAATGAATTTTATATAGCTATATCTATAGCCGTTGATACATACCATCACGTATTCCTCTTCCAGTTCTCTACGCCGTAAGTACTTCCTCACGTAGAAAGGGTTAACACCATCCTTATTTCCACCTGCAGGATTTACATATTTGTGATACAGTTGTTACCTGTACATTATATATATTGTTGGTATACTACACATAGTGTATTACATTACTTCTTAACTTACAATAAAGTCACAGATATCTTATGCACTGAATTAAAACATATTTTTGGGGGTGGGTTGGGGCTGGATGAAGGTTTGGGATAACTAAATACTGTCTGTTTTCTGGATTTATATTCTCACCTTATGCGGCTTAGCCACTCTTTTTTCATCAAAGATAATGCAGCAGTTTATGAAAGATCGGTTTTATTCAGTGTGAAATAATGAAGATGGTATATTTTTAAGAGTTAATGATTGTATTTAAATATATGTCTGTGAAAAGTGCTGGTACCTGTAGCAAGTGTCAGAAGTCAACTCTTCATATACTATATGACGTTTACCTGTGACCAGACTGAGGACAACGCCTACCACCAGTACGATGATGAATCCAAAACACTGGTACAGAGTGTAGGAGAGGCTGTAGCATCGAGTCCCGACCTACATGCAGGAAGAAATGAAAGTGTAGATTATGATATAACAATGAAATGGGCGTCTATAATGCACTACATTCCAGCCATATGTCACTATATCATTATTACTCCAGTCAGTGTATCAATGTACCTTCGGGTTACATTCTCAGCTCCTCAGGGAGTAGCGGTAGAAGGTCACATTAATATCTCATCCTCTCCTCGCAAGGGTCAAGCTTCCGTCCAATGGTTTTCCGTAACCAAAGTTGTTGAACTGCATCCGTTCTGTGATCTGTGCGATGCACTGAGTAGTACCACAGAGATTTGAATGTGACGATTAGAACTCCCTAAATACAAGTATATACGTTATCCAGTAAAATGCTGGAATGTGTGGTTTGTTGAGTTAGGGCTCATCACGGTGATGTTATAAGTCGCTGAATATGACATCGACATGTCAGCAATTGGGCAGTGATCTGTTGGGAGAGGGGGTAGAAGGGGCGTCTGTCTCACCCCCGGGGAAACACTGGCACCGACCGCCAGCCACGTCAGAAAGCTGAGTCCAGTGAGTAATGCAAGAACAGCGCTCTGTGGAGAGAGGATGGTATAAAACAGCTCATTATCCCATTGCAGAAATACTTAAACTATGTTTTGCGTTTTCTTTTATATGGTTGATAGTTTCTTGAGTTGTATAATGCTCAGTTGCAATAAAGAAATTGCCTACCGATATAAATTTGTCATTGTGCTTTACACGTGATTTTTAATGCCACTCAAAACATGTGACACGCTTGGGAGCTTAGATAAAGAACTCGGATGTCTTGAAGTGAGTGACTATTGAAAGGGTGAAATATTTAACAGTGTAGACCTATGAATACAGTTCTGTACATGTACGTGTACCTTTAACATAGCTACAATGAAAAGTTACTCCCTGCTTGATAAGGTTACTTAAATGTTTATGAAGAGTTTAAGAACCACACTATTGCTTTCAATTAAATATAATTGATATATTTTAAAATGTCACATATGTACTTAATATTTCTAGGAATAATGCCATCATCCATATTATAACACTTTAATACATGAGTGTAGAGTTCAGCTGAATGTTTGAACATATAAGTTCATATTTCGCCTATTCTGCTATATACTAATGAGCAGGAATATATATATCCACAATCTTGACCTACTCTTGTATTTACAAAGGGGAAGAGAGCCCCGAGGTAGAACAGACCGGTTACTGGCCCAGCCGTCACTGAAGAGGCACTGTAATAAATCTGAAACAGAGTGAGGGAGTTCAGTTTTACGCAGCTTTTAGCAATATTCCAGCAATATCACGGCGAGGGACACCAGAAAGGGGCTTCATACATTGTACCTATGTGCGGAATCGTACTCGGGCCTTCGGCGTGACGAGAGAACGCTTAAACCGCTAGGCTACCCCACCGCCCCTTTGAAACAGATCGTCGCAACATTGCTGATGCGACGTTAAGGAATATTCACTCACTCACTCTGAAACGGAGAGTTTCTTATTGGCACCAATAAGTTGCTCGCCACTATGGTATGCGGAAAGCATCGCACAACAACACTCATTCGTTACGTCCTTGATCAGAGGCTTGTGCGAGAAAGGTCAAAGGTGATGGAAAGTCACAAGTTGTCCACCTTAGTGAAAGTCATTGGCACATACAAATAAGTAAATTCTCGAAAAAACAACAATGTGAAATATTTATCAGTCAAACAAAATGGATGATTTATATGGTTTATATAGTGTTTTAGATGACAAAGACGTGTTCACCAGTTAAGCCACGCCCGCTCACCTCAAATTTGTACATCAGGTTAAACAAATTCCTCTCAATACATAAACGTGTATATTATTTACGACACGTTGTAGACATATAAAAAAGTATTTTACACACAGCTTACGTATTAGCGGAATAATATTCCATCTTGTCCCAGAGTCAAAACTTTCTTCACCCACGTGTTTCCAAGCCGTATTTTACCTTCACTGCCACGTCGTTAGTCATATATAACTTGTCAGCAGATACACGTCACGCAATGCACCATTACCCGAGTAGAAGTATCTAAATAACCCTGTCAGTTTACAATGATTCTGGACAGCTATTGATTCAGAAGTTTAGAGACTTTGAACCGATTTGATTCAGAATTTAACTCTAAGAATTGTGAGATAATTTTGATTTTAGCCTTTTCATGAATGAAAGGTTATAATAATAATATCTACTACTATCACAATAAATTGTTTTAACTGTTATTTTGACAATAATTAATTTCCGAACGTCTGACATTTGAGCAGCACAGGGTTTGATAAAGTCCTCCCATGTTGTGTTTGCGAGAGCAGATACACCTGATGATAGTGAACTGAAATGAATCAGAATCAAAGTGTTAAATACAATTCAAATAACGTGTTGATATATTTCCTAGAAATGTGTATTTACATATTACCCATAGATATACATTTCTGGCGCGGAATAAGGCCACACTGACCTGAGAGAAGCACTGAAGACTGCTGCAAGAAAGAGGCCCGGCATTCCTGGCAGGTTCCGGAAAATGTCGAGGATCATGAAGGGTAATACCTTGCAAATAAACAGTAGTGAAACAGGAACATTCGCCTTTTGGATTTCGCATATACAGCGTTAAAACGTATAAGAACTATTTACAACTTATAATTTCAAAATTTATATTTATGTATATTTTGTGATGGTCAGGGAATACCAAATACACAAACATTCGTACGAGTATGCATTCCTAACTGTGTGACTGTACCTGATCAAGGTTGGTGATGTGATTGGATGCCAAAGGATCGCACCTCTTGTAGTCATAGTAACCATATGCCAGAAGACCACTGATGACCGAAAGACTTCCAAACGCAGGTCCAAACAAGAGGCCCAAGTAACATCGCCCTGAATGGCAATCCTTCATTAGTCTACTTCACATACACATTATCACTATTGCAGTGTTATGTAATTGACAGTAGAGGATTTGGCGTAACTGTCTGTAACGCATAAGGAAAACACAGCCAGCAGTCACTGTGAAATAATGATTAAGTAAAGAATAATGCTTGCAACAGGATATTTCATACAAACTAAATCTTACCTGTAGAATAACATAAATACTTTTGCGTTTTAAGTTATCATTGAACTTGCAATCGTGCCTTCTGGCCTGAGTGAGAGACTTTGTGGATGTTATCCGCTGAAGATATGCAGGCTTGAACAGCCAACCAAATCCAGTGACCACCCTGCCTAGACTCAGGTTCCATACGGTATGGCGAATTGTCGGGCCGATGTCAAATCCAAAGAGAGGTGAAATATGTTGTGATGAAAAGGAGAGGTGAAATATGTTGTGATGAAAAGGGAATGAAACACCAGGGTCCATGCTGTTGAACCTTGGCGAAGGTAGGTAATTCACTATCTTCGTGAGAGTACCCGAATAGTGATCCTGAAACAACTGTCTCCAGTGTCTATTCCCAATCTCAATTGTGTTGTACTTTCATGAATGTCAGTCTCTCTCCATCCATTATCCTTGATTAAACTTCCTCGATTCCTCCACTATCAATTGTACCCTGTCATCAAGATACAAATCCTCATTTTTTTCGTATCATCGTATCTTATCCAATGATGCTGTCATCATCTTTCGAAGGTATGCTATTCCCCATCATTACTTCAAAGAATAACTTCCCAGTAATTTAATTGGAAGATATTTTGTGCATTCAATATAATGAGAATTATATACTGCTATTATTATTAACTGTCTATCATAACATGCCATTAAAACATTCCACACACATATGAACCCGGAAGAGACTTTGAAAGCACAAAGAATCGAAATCAACAATAAAAAATTGGTTACTTGCAAATTATGAAAGCTACGTATAAAAACCAACCGAACAAAAACGTTTATAGCAATTGACATTTTTGCCAAACTTCACCTATATTTCTGAAATAAATTTGTGTAGAAAGATATATATCTATGTAACCCGAATATTCCCGGAACAAAGCAAATATCTACGCAGGAAAAAGATATCAATGGAGCATTTCGCCTAGACTATTTAAGCCAACAAAAACATGATGTCTCTAAATGACCTTCAATATCACTCGAGAAAAATGGGTGCGATGGTTAACAACACAATTAATTCTTATACAAAAAGTAGGTTGGGAGACAGAAATGGACCAGGGCCTAGATTTTCGAAGCTCTCTTAGTGTTGGCTGGCTGGATGGCTGGCTGAGTATGGTTTTACGCCGTTTTTAGCAATATCACGGCGGGGGACACCAGAAATGGGCCTCACAAGTTGTACCCATGTGGGGAATGGAACCCGGGCCTTCGGCGTGACGAGCGAACGCTTTAACCACTAGGCTACCCCACCACCCCAGGGTTAACATGGTCGTAAATACCATACATTAACATTAACTTACGACTATCTAGGCCCAGTACACGATTACGTCACTTTGAAAGCAATACTGCTTACCTTGATGATTACCGCCAGCATGCCGATAAACATTAGCATATACTGGAGGACATCCGTCCAAATCACAGCTTTCAGACCACCCTGGAAATATAAGGTCACAAGGCAAGAGAAGGATTAATGTTTCCTTTTCTCCGGAAACTTGGCAAGTACAAACTGCTATCATGGCTGGTTTTTCGTGTCACGTACATGATTGACACAGACTTATTATACGGTTACCACTGGAATGATGACATAATGGTTATGGATGATATGTTTCAAAACAAATTATCTCCCTGTTGCATAGGATCGTGAACAGGTAAACGTCAGATTCCAAGTTGAACTATTCTACAAAATATAATTACATTTTTAGTTTGAGAAAGGGAGTAGTTGGAGTTGTATTGTTACAAACTTGTTACGGGTAATCACACTCTCAGCAACCCTTCCTATATGAATGTAGCTCTTGATAGTTTCACTGGGAATTGACGTAAGATGCAAATTGAAGTCAGCTATTGACAAGTTTATCCAGTATCATATGATGTAAGGGTTGAATGGCTTAGCGAATAGTTTTTGTGGGACCAAACGTTCATGCGTTCCGGAAAAGGAATATCGTTGTGTCACAATCGTGTTCAATATCCATTTAATTGTATACAATAGCCATACAATGGCTCCTCTTTTTGTAAATTATACTCTGTTGAATTAGACACGTTTCAACAATTATCTCTAATCGGCAAAATGAAGCATGCCGCTTATATTCCATCGGATGTATACAATGTATTGACTTTCAACACATAAGGTATTGTACTAGTTATTAACAATGTCGAGTTTTCAAAAGACGGTTGAACTCACAATGGTGGTGTAGAGAACAGCAGCTGCTGATGTGACTAGGATCGACCAGATCATAGAGAAGCCCGTCACTGGAACAAAATACAAATTCACTTAACTATACCAAAACGGTTGGTGATAACCTGTAAACTCATGTATTGGCATTGACCATCCGAACCAATCCATTCAGGATGCTGCGAGTGGTGGTGATAACACATAGAGGTAAACGATAACGAGCACGTGTTTGGAAAGTTTATACGATTCAGCCCCTTCCCGAAACGTGTGATCGGGGTAGGTCCCCATCTCATCTCCTGAAGCTTGATTCCAGAATCAGCTTATTTCTTTACGAACAAACCGGTGTTGGATACTTTAGGTAAATCAGACCATGCTCAGCCTTTTAGCGAAACTTTTTTCAGTGGAATCGGTTTCGGTAAAGATTAGACTATGACAGTTCGGAAATGTTAACGATTGGAATTTCCCCAGATTGCAGCAGGTGTGGTAGTGTTGATAAGATGTCGTTCAGGTTTAAGATGAAGTGCCCATTGGTAATTAGACTTAAGCTTAGTCTCTGAATATGTGTGTTGGAATTGAACAGGAGACAAAATGAAAAGGGAGATTCTGAACCTGAGGAATTATTATTATCATTATTTTTATTATAGGATATTTATATAGCGCACATATCCACGCAACTAGTGCATCCTCAAGGCGCTGAATCTAGATGATTTGCTTCATGTAGGGCTGTAGCATTGCCGAAAGGACTAATAATGTGATTCGAGGGCTGTGAGACAGACTTATAGATACTATGTGTGGTGGTTCTCATGTGACGTAAGTGTGACGTGTAATGACAATCAATTAACCAATACCAATACATTGATTTACCCAGGTGAACTTGAAATAAATCAGGCCAGAGACATCGCTTCATGTTTGTCATATCAAGATCTATGTACAAAGATTCAGAGTGACTATTAAACTCTCCACAAGGCTGTATGCCAAGAGTGATGACTTTCCAGTAGCCTACATCCGTGATCTGATGCAGAAGAAGTGGGACACACAAGTAGGTATCAATACATTACATGCAATAAAACCCTATATCGGTTACACCTACTTGGGTTGTCAGTCCAGATTTGAAGAGGTCATTATGCGACGATGTCGCATTGGCCATACTGGATATACTCACGAATATTTATTGAAAGGCGAAGATCCTCCGTTTTGCATCCTTTGTGATGAAAGAATCACGGTCAAGCATGTCCTGCTTGACTGTGTTGAATATTTCAAATCACGAACTATGAAGGATATTTCTAATAATATCAGTTCTCATTTAATTATTGCATTTTTAAAAGAATTAGATTTGTTCAATGATTTGTAAATAGATAAATGGTATTTTAAAGATGGTATTATAAATTAGCAATTGTGATTGTTAGTGGCTGTATCCTCGAAGGGGCTTAAAGTATCTTCAAAATTTTGTCCTCCCGAGAGGGTATGTAAGCCCCAAAACGTTCAAAGTCAATTTAAATTTACCAGGATTTGTTAACGTAGTATTCTTGATATTTTAATTTTGGCTAACATTTCTTACAATCGCCAGCGGCTTAAGGGATGGTGTAAATCCAACTAGGGTCCATGCAGGTAGCAAAGGTACTGTAAGTCCCCATGGTCCATGGTATGGTGATCTACCCTCTATAGCCTACTTTTATATTGTGTTGTCCTCTATTGTAAAAATGTTTTAGATTAAATTACTAGTTTTACATTTATATATGTGATGTTCTAGTTGTTTTACTGTCTTTCGTTGACAGGATTCTTTAATCTATCTTACTTATTGTTAATCTATAACTTGTTTTAGTCACGATATGGCTGAAATATTGCGAAAGTGACTTTAAATTTTAACTCACTCACTTTCAAGTAGTCAGCGTTCCCATTGTGTCGTGCAGAATCCCGAAAGCTCCAGCCTTTGGCATTTACATTTCACAGCTTTTTTGTGGTACAGTTGTGCATGGAAGATCAACAAAGTTATGTTTACATTTACTTGACTGAGTGTTCAAAATAAGTATTTTATATGATTTGTTTGATTAAACGATCATGTATCATGTTTTCAAACAATCTGGTTTCCATATAAGTATAATCGGCAAGCTTTTTGCATATTGCTTCTCACTTACATTATTTATATGCTACTGTTCACAAGAGTGTGCCTGAAATATATGCATGCTTCCAGTGTTTCCGTTATGCCTTAGAAACAGCAAGATAGCAATAGGTGGACCATTTATCTATTTGATTTTCCTGTGTTAGTTTGAAGTGTCCTATGATTATTCGAAGTTAATCAGATTTGCCCCATGCATGACCTACCTCAGATCCTACTCGCAACATGTGCTGAGTTAGGTCGTCATGTGTTTGTGGAAACGTTTTCAGTTTCTGCTTTCTGCGAGAATACAAACTACCCTTCTCTGTTGATACCGAAGGTATGGTACAGGTGTGCTAAGTTAGTCTTCAGGGTGTTTTACAGTTTGGGACAGATGTTGCACATATCGTGTTTGCTACTGGGTATACGGTTATGGTGACGATCATGCATGGCAGAGATATGTTTTCCATTACCTGCCTCCAATGCCATGCCTTGTCCAAACAAGATGATGCCCAAGTAGAAAAGCTGAAAATGCAAGAAATGGTAAATGGCTCAATGTCTTCAGTTTGGGTATGGAGTGGAATGGTATTATGTGCATCACAACCCATGAGCAAGCACAACTGATTAGTGTTAATGGCAGTTGAATGGTTTACGCTACCCGGACGAGTGCAGTCGATAACATGTCATTTTAATGCAAATGCAAGACGTAACGTTACATTGGAGACTGATAATTCCCGCCAAGACAATGCAGATCTTGTAACAGACGTTTTGAGGCAGTAGATCATTGCTGTATATCTAAAGCATCACCTACCCCCTCTCCTTAAAAGGTCTCCATCAAGGATCAGTCGGTTAACATGCACATACAGTTATGACGACAATCAACTTGAATGTTAATAACAAGTGTTTTGTCTTATTCAGGGTCGATTAATCGCATGCTGCATGCCCGCAGACGTTGACTGTGAGTTAACTGACAATTAAGTATAAGGGTCACATTGCTTAAAGCACCGCGATATCGCATTTCGCAAAACAATGTATGCAGAAAGCTGGAGTAAACGATCAATAGATACTTATACATATGTTACTTGACCATCTACGATGAGGAACATGGTTTCATATGGTATCAATGTTTCTTCTTATTTTAAATTAACGATGTTATTTAAGAATTCATTTGTGCATTCATTCACAATGACTCGGACAGATTAGCAACCAGTCGTACAGAAACTGATAATGTATGGTGTAAATCCCTGAATATCTTTATCCCTGGCTTGTGTCATGTGATTAGTTTTGAGTATCACGGACATCATGTATTGCACTGTGTGTATCAGCGAGTCTTACGTTCTCAACACATCCAAGCACTGTCACTATGAGGCGCAGAGCTCGAGACTCGAAGCGGCCCTCAAGGAACTGAAATATAACAAAAACCTTTAAAAAGATAGGTCATTATACTTTAAGATTAAAGGCTTCAAATCTGTTAGATCGACATTTTACAAGAACTCTTGCTTGACAATATAATGACCTATAGTTGCGTCTGTTGTTAGTGTGGAACACATTTTTGAAATGGCCAATGAGGTCACGACTCAGAATCTACTGTAACACAAATAGTGCGACGTTTCTATAATTGTTCAGCTACAAAACAACTACTTATATGTTACCTGGAACGGGCTAGAGATATTGAGTCTCCTCAGAAGTGCCAAAAGAAGGAAGATTTCCAGAAGGTTTCCCACGGAGAAGGCCATCTCACTGAGAATCCACATGATGCCATGGCAATAGGCCTCTGCAGACGCTCCAACCATGGTAATTGACGAAGTGAACGTCGCCAACAAAGACAGCGCGACGGGAAGGAAGGTCATCGAACGTCCAGCCAGAAGGTATTCGTCCAGCCTACCATGCCTACTCACAATGGCGTAGTATATGCCGATGCTCACAGACACAGCCACCATGACGCCAAACACTGTGTAGTCCCATTTCCCAAACGCAAGAGACTCCATAGATGCGGGTAGTAAACGTAATAAATCTAAATGTATATGGAGATTTAGCACATTGAATATTCTACAAGATGAATGGATTATCAAACAAGCCACAGGCTAACAATACCAAGAGATATTTGCAGAAGTATGCAAGATCACCAACCTACTGACATAACTTTAACCTATACCTGCCACATGTAACCGTGAGTTAAATACATTTGCAGAAGAAGCACAAAACACCGCCTGATAATAATTCATAAACATGTGCGTATGATGTAGTCATACACACACCAATGGATCTTTACTTATGATAATGGAAAAGAGTTTGTTTTTTTCTTTATTGACTAGTGACACTCGGCGGATAGTCGAGTCTGTTTGGTCCTTGGGGCTGACGGTATATTTATTTGTGTGTATATATGTACATCAAAAATGAATAAATTTTATCATGTTGAATACAGACATCATTGTAGCAAAACAATCCTGCTTAATACAAAACTTCCATATCTTTTGGATGAAATATACCTCAAACTACATAAAAAGTGATTTCAGGGAATGTGTCTAAAATTTCAATCTATTTTTCAGTGATTTTATTATGTACAATCCCTGTAATTTCAGTGATTGTGTATAATCACTGAGTGAATCAGACATCATGCATTATCACTAAAAAGATTTAACATATTCACTGTAACATTTACATGAATATAATGGTAAAATGATTGTGAAACGTTCGTTTTACAATGTCATGGCATGATAAACCAGATAACCTCACCTTTTCGTCAACATCTCATAACTATACTATTCAAAAAAGAAACGCATAACCCAGAAATCTGTTGCAAAAATGTTGCATTTTCAAACATGTATAACTCGTCCTCAAATAGACTTTAAAAAATGAATTTATACATCGGTTTAGAAGAAGGGGAATGTCTATACAACCAAGGGATAATTTTAGATAACGGAGACGATGAGCGCGATGGTGATAACGTAGCATGGTCCCGGCGTTGGGTCTCCTGGCTCTCAGCCCAATCTCACTCAACCTGTTCCGTGCAGTTAGACCGGATATCCTCCGAAGTCCAGGCAACCTGGTCGCTGTGCTCTCACACGTGGCAGTACGATCACGCACATGTAGTACCCGGATGTACCGATCTTGGGCTGCAGTGGTGACTCGAGGTCTGCCTGTACGGGGACGTTCATTTGTTATACCTGTTTGGTTGGAATGAGCTGCAAGCAGTGATATCGTGCTCAGACTAGCATTCAGACGCCTGGCAAGAGAAAATTGGTAATCTCCAGCGTGTATTCTTTCAGTGGCGATGTTCCGTGTTGCAGCGTCAAGACTTGGCGTAGTGATTTGACCTTGAAACTCCTTCAAAACGGATGCCGATTTCCGAAAGTAATCTGGATTTTATAGCCAGACAGTGCATGCTCTTTGCTGCACAATTTCAACTGGAAGGTGATTTCTGTTGCGTTGTGGCGATGCACTTTTAATTCTTGTAAGAAATCTCATCAAAATCAACATTTTCAGGTAAAGTCGACTTATCACTTGTGCAATTCTGTAAAATCATGTTATCAACACTTTTGTAACATATTTTGACGAATGTTTGAACACAATAGGTAATTAATAGATTTTTTTAAATGCAAAACGCCTATGCGTTTCTTTTTTGGGATAGTATATTTGATTCCTTAACATTACAGGAACACACTTTCCGTTTATTATAATTACAATTTTGATCCAAAGACATCTCAGTTCCTATGCAATGTTTGTAATGTTCTTATGTAATCAAGACATTTATGTTGCGTGAATCATTCGGTTTATAAGCCTTTGTAAAAGGTCATACTGTGGAGGATAACTTGCACAGCGTGATAGAACATGACAACTTGAGATCTTGGGAACTTACACTATCCCATGACTCACGATGTCTCAGCACAGGACCCGTGAATGTCCGGGTTGGAATATTGATCTTCAGTAACCCATGCTTGTAAGATGGGACTAACGGGATCGGGTGGTCAGGCTCGCTGACTTGGTTGACACATGTCATCGGTTCCCAATTGCGCAGATCGATTGTCATGCTGTTGATCACTGGATGTTCTTATCCAGAATCGATTATTTACAGACCGCCACCATATAGCTGGAATATTGCTGAGTGTGACGTACAACTAAACTCACTCACTCACTCACTTACTCACTCACTCACTCTCAGCACAGACACTAAGTACTAAGAATCCATGTCCGCACTGACGGGATCGTTGTTTGTCACCGATGCATAATTATTCAAATACTGTTTTCGTATGCTAAACAGTTGGATGCAGAAAACATGAGGATCAATGCATGATTAATAGTGAAGAACGTTTAAATATTCATATTCTCATAGCAACAATAAGTAATCCAAAATATTTGTATTTGGCTACAGCTGGCTTTTAATATTGAACATGTTGAAACCTATATAGCAGCAAAACCATTGTCATGAAATATCATCGTTGACTACGTAACTTTGTAGACACCGTATGACAACAATCGGCATGCGTATAAGCACGCAGCGTTTCTGAAATTATAGATAATAGAGGATATGTTGTGAATGTTGTTAAAACATGTATATTCATCGAGTGGTCTGACAAAGTTGATATGTTCACTGGTGGCTGCGCCACTCGTTATTTATTATATTTTTATCATTGTTTATAAATGATCGAGCCATCGAGTAAGTCTGCATTTTATTACGCAACCCAACTGCACTCTAGCCCTTGAGTTCCAGGCAAAAGTGATATAACATGTTAATCTACTCAGTGAAAATACAATTTTTTATTTTCACCAATATTGACAGTATTTCACCCTTAAGCATATAATAAATCGGTGAACTTTCCATGGCCCGGATGTTTCAGGTCATACTAGGACAGCACAAGACACAATGCCAGTACAAATTAGATAATGATACATTCCCGACAACTAGGTATTGACAAAACACACAAACCTCTTGCGAATTCTATATTAGGACAATGTAATGCAATTACAATAGTGTTTGACAATAAATCACACTGTCCTTCAAATATTTTGCATATGTTCTCGAGTGCTCCAGGAGTACAGATAAATTGCCTTTGCCCTGTAAGTCGGATCTCATGGTGTCAATCACCTGACTGTCTGGCCCAGACTCGATTATTTATCGAGCATGCAGCTGTAACATTGCCTCGGTGTTAAACAAACAAACATAATAACAACACATACTCATATTATAGTCGGATTCCGTGTGTGTGGACGTGGAAAGGGTTTTGACGCATATATTTGCATGTGTTCTTGATAGGTGGCATCGGTGGGGCAGGATACACTCACATTCTGGCGAATACCCGGTACTGTCAATATTTGATTCATAAACACATGATCATGGAAAAGTAACCTCAACTCTGCTTTCAACACAGATTTCCCAGTATGAACGTGAGATGAATATGTTATAACAAGCTATGTAGATATGCTACTCATCACCTGGTTGCAGTCACTATTAGCTTGACAATGGTGTAAGAATCTACACTCAAACATCACCCTATGCATAAACCAATTAAACAGACGTTGTTGTCCATAATGTCATGTGCCTCAGTATTGATTCACCAGCTTCTAGAATGACGATCAAACTATAAGGAATTGTATATTTGAAAGGAAACTTGTAGAAGTTCAAGACCACTTAATTCAGGTCACAACAGAACACATTAAACATGCCATAAAAAATTCAACACGTATATCATTTGTTTATGCCATTTACATATATGCATGAAACGAATTGAGTATTTAGGATAGGGAATTAGGTTTCGTGTGTTTTTGACGTATGTTAAGGCTTCGATCAACCTTGAAATGAGGTAACAGACTCAATGTCTGCACGGAAATCTACAATGGGGAGAATAAGACAACTTAACAACAAATGGCGGCATACACACGCATGCGCATTCCTTCATAATGTTTTTGTATGTGCGCAAACAGACTTCATCTTAAAAACGAAAGGGTCACATCGCGACAATGAAATGATGAATTTGATGAAATGTCGCGTTGTCGCGTGTGTAGCCAATAGGTAATAATGCATAGTATACTAAATATTTTAACAATCGCGACAATGCGACATTTGGAGAAATGTCGCGTCGCTTTTTATCAGTTACTGCAGAATTTCAAAAATATAACAAACGCAATTATATATCTATATTTTGGCAGGGCAAAGATGCCTCTAGGGATCGAACTCAGAACAATAATAAATGAGTTTACATGTGACCGTGAAGTCTGTGGGTTAAGTAAGGGTCGTTGGTTAATGGACGTTTGATTTATTCAGCAGGGATGTGGTAATATCTCCCGATACGATGTCTATATCGCTTTACTTAATTACTGGCAATTGTGATGAAAATTATTAAGGTTGAATAGGTATATTTTTCAAACAAGACGATACAGGTACATGTGTATCGCTGGGTATCGTATCGTCTGAGAAAATTATCGATGCATTGTGAATCATGGCATGTACAGGATTAAATATAGAGCATTCAAATAGACTTGAAAAGAGTGAGTGAGTGAGTGAGTGAGTTTGTGACTGAGTGAGTGAGTATGGGTTTCTGGCACTCCAAGGGTACGCCTCTCTGACAAGCGAATTTATCGTGTTTTTTATATCATGATGATAACAGTCCATTTGTATGGCGTTTCTCCAAGATAAAATGTCACGTTCAAAGCCTTTATTACACCGGCAATTCTCAGTCCCAATGGGAGAATGCGACCTAAGCTGTCTTTGAGGTGCTGGAGGGTTAAGTCATATTGCCATCTCATTCTACCTGGTATCCACTGCTGGCTGAACAGAGGTTCATTTCGGCCAAATTCATCAGCAAAATACTCTCGCAGGAGCCAAACTGTCGAACATGGTTACCTGTTCGAGGACTTCACCTGGTTTTTATGCCGATATGGCCTGAATTCTATCGCCGCCTTGAACAATATTTCAGTTTTCAAAACCTGTCAGCTGGATATTGGAGAAATGTCCGAAGTGATGAATGTGTATGGTGCTGGGATTCGAACC